TCAGCAGTGCGCATCCACGATCCCGCTTCGCGAGATTCTGATAATGATCATATGCTCACTAGTGACTGGCTCCATGAGGTATTTCGTGGAGTCCTAGTGAGAAGCAGTAACCAGTGGAGTTCAACCAGATCTGTTTGGAGATACTAACTCACTGAAGACATTGGTGAATGTTTGCTCAATTCCGTGGATTGGTTGAAATTGGACATTAACACTGTTGGATGCCGGCTTTGTGGTCTATTGGTTAAGTGTTCGCGCGCGAGACTTATATGTCCTGGGTTCGATTGGGATCGTGGATGAGTACTGCTGAGGAGTCCCACACTAGGACGAAACAACCGTCCAGTGCTTCCAGGTTTTCCATTGTGGTCTAGCTTCAATTGACTCACGATTCCAACTATATATATATATAATATATTACTTACTTTACTACTTACTTTCGCCTGTTACTCCCAATGGAGCATAGGCCGCCGACCAGCTTTCTCCAACCCACTCTGTCCTGGGCCTTCTTTTCTAGTTCTTTCCAGTTCTTGTTCATTCTTCTCATGTCTGTCTCTATTTCTCGGCGTAATGTGTTCTTTGGTCTTCCTCTTCTCCTTCGACCTTCAGAATTCCATGTGAGGGCTTGTCTTGTGACACAATTGGGTGATTTCCTCAAAGTGTGCCCAATCCACTTCCAGCGCTTCTTCCTGATTTCTTCCTCCGCTGGAATCTGGTTTGTTCTCTCCCACAGTAACTTGTTGCTGATAGTGTCTGGCCATCGGATCCGAAGTATCTTGCGTAGACAGCTGTTAATAAACACTTGTATCTTCTGGATAATGGCTTTCGTAGTTCTCCACGTCTCTGCCCCATACAGTAGAACTGTCTTCACATTTGTATTGAAAATTCTAACCTTGGTGTTGGTTGACAATTGTTTTGAGCTCCAGATGTTTTTCAGCTGTAGGTATGCTGCTCTTGCTTTGCCGATCCTCGCCCTCACATCTGCATCTGATCCACCGTGTTCATCAATGATGCTGCCCAGATATGTAAAGATTTCCACATCCTCCAAAGCTTCTCCGTCAAGTGTAATTGGATTGGTGCATATTGTATTGTATCGAAGAGTCTTGCTTTTCCCTTTGTTTATATTGAGACCTACTGCTGCTGAGGCTGCTGCTACACTGGTCGTTTTCTCCTGCATTTGTTGTTGCGTTTGTGATAGAAGAGCCAGATCATCCGCGAAGTCTAAATCGTCAAGCTGCATCCTGCCTGTCCACTGTATCCCGTGCATTCCTCCAGATGTTGACGTCTTCATAATCCAGTCGATCACCAGGAGAAAGAGAAAGGGTGAGAGTAGGCAACCTTGCCTAACACCGGTCTTTACCTCGAACGAGTCGGTGAGTTGTCCTCCGTGGACGATTTGGCAGTTTAGTCCATCATAGGAGTTCCGTATGATATTTACTATCTTCTCAGGCACACCGTAGTGTCGAAGAAGCTTCCACAGTGTCGTCCTGTCCACGCTATCAAATGCCTTCTCGTAGTCGATGAAGTTGATGTAGAGTGATGAATTCCATTCGATTGATTGTTCCACAATGATACGTAGAGTTGCGATTTGATCTGTGCACGATCTATCCTTACGAAATCCAGCTTGTTGATCTCGAAGTTGAGCGTCCACGGAATCCTTCATCCTGTTTAACAATACTCTGTTGAAGACTTTTCCTGGTATTGAGAGGAGAGTGATGCCTCTGTAGTTGTCGCACTTGCTCAGATCGCCTTTCTTTGGTATCTTGATGAGAAGTCCTTCTTTCCAGTCTGTTGGTACATGTTCTTCGTCCCAAATCTTACCGAAGAGGATGTGGAGTATCTTGGCAGTTGCTGTTACATTTGCTTTCAGTGCCTCTGCCGGGATGTTGTCTGGTCCCGCTGCTTTGCCACTCTTGATTTGTCTAATGGCCATGCTGATCTCTTCAATTGTTGGTGGGCCAATATCGATTGGGAGGTCTGTGGGTGCTGCTTCGATGTTGGGTGGGTTCAGTGGAGCTGGTCGATTCAAGAGTTCTTTGAAGTGCTCTACCCACCTGTTTCGTTGTTCTTCAATATCGTTGATTACTTTGCCTTCCTTGTTTTTCACTGGTCTTTCTGGTTGACGGTAATTTCCAGCAAGTTTCTTTGTTGTATCATACAGTTGTCTCATGTTTCCCTCTCTTGCAGCCTTTTCCGCTGTCATCGCTAAATTTTCCACATATTTACGTCGGTCGGTCCTGATGCTCCTCTTCACTTGCTTGTTTGCCTCTGTGTATTCGGCTTGTGCCTTGGCTTTTTCTGCTCTTGTTCGGCTGATATTGATTGCTACCTTCTTGTTCCTCCTTGCTTCAATTTTATCCAGTGTACCAACAGTGATCCATTCCTTGTGATGGTGCTTCTTTTGGCCCAGAACCTCCTGACATGTTGAAACGATTGCCTCCTTGATACCTTTCCAGCTGCTCTCTATGGTGGTTCCCTCTTCATTGAGTAGGTTATGAAAGGCCTGGAACCTGTTGCTGAGGGCTATGTTAAATTCGTTGAGTTTGTCAGCATCTCGAAGAAAGGCCGTGTTAAACTTTTGTGATGTTGTCCGCGCCATTGTCCAGTGCTTCTTGAGTTTTAGTTTCATCTTGGCGACCAGCAAATGGTGATCGGATGCTATATCAGCTCCTCTTCTGGTTCTCACATCCTCCATCGTCCTCCTGAACTTTTTGTTGATGCAGACATGGTCGATTTGATTCTGTGTAGTGTGATCCGGTGAAATCCAAGTGGCTTTGTGTATGTTTTTGTGTGGGAATATGGTGCCACCTATGACCAGTTTATTGAAGGCACATAGGTTTGCAAATCTCTCACCGTTTTCGTTCCTTCCTCCCAGTCCATGTTGTCCCATGACGTCTTCGTATCCAGTGTTGTCCTTTCCAACCTTGGCATTGAAATCTCCCATTAGAATGGTCAGGTCCTTGGTTGGGCACTTCTCGAAGATTGACTGCAGCCTATCGTAGAATTGGTTTTTAGCGTCTTCATCGTAGTCGTTGGTCGGCGCATAGCATTGGATGATGTTCATTGTAATGCCCTCTCTCTTTGTTCTGAAGGAGGCTTTGATGATCCTCGGTCCATGAGATTCCCATCCTATAAGTGCATTTTGTGCTTTTCTAGACAGCATCAGTGCCACTCCTTGTGTATGTGGGGCATTTTCTTCTTCATGACCGGAGTATAACAGAAGTTCCCCTGAAGACAGTCGTTGTTGTCCAACCTGCGTCCAATGTGTTTCACTGATTCCAAGCACTTCCAGGTTGTATTTCCTCATTTCCGCAGAAATTTGGAAGACTCTGCCGGTCTCCCACATTGTCCGGACATTCCATGTACCTATAAAAATTGTCGCTCTGGTTGTAAGAAGGTGCATCGGCCTCATGACTTCCGAAGGAACTCGGCTTTCATCATGAGACGTCATTTTTCCTTCTACTCCCAGGGCAGAGTTTGAATGGTTTGAATGAATTTTTCTGGTTAGCGTTTTTTTAGCGAGTTGATTTTTCTACGGGATGGGGTCGCTAACCCCATGCCCAACCCTCCTCCTTTACCCGGGCTTGGGACCGGCAGTAGCCCCTGGAGGAGCTACAGGCGGAGTTATATATATATATATATAATATATATTGAGTACAAAAATAATGTGATGCATATAAACGAACAATATTGTTTTCCGACTGTATATCTGTATCAATGTGGTTCAAATATTGGTCTTTTAATATTGTTTTCATTTGGATCTTCATCAAACTTCAATCTAAAATACACGATTGTATGAGTTAACAAAAATATTGAACAAATCAAAGTAAATTATGAATTAGTGGTCACAATGAAACAGATTGTACAAATACATATTATAAAGCATACATCGATAGTAAGAATAAAGATGTACTAGCACTGATAAGAAAATGAAATAACGAAAGATTTAGTCAATTGTTAGACAATAGAAGTAGGTCAAGCTTAAATAAATGGAATTCAAAATTGTATAAACAAAACATTATCAAAATTATGTAGTAGAAAGTGTGTAATTAATTAGATAGTGAAGAAACTAAATGGAAGGAGGTGTGAAGTGTTAAACCGATACAGGATGTGAAAATATCAATGAAATCGTTTGTTATGTGACATCCGACTAATGAAGGAACAGTAGTATCACTATTCACTTCTAAACATATAAATGTGTTATGCGTTCGAATCTCGATAGCTTTTGCTATATGTAGAAGATGGGATGGAGATTAATTAGAAACAAATGAAGACACATGATAAATAACTGAAAATGATTTCGTTATATCTACTGCCTGACTACTACGAAGTAGACATGCCGAGATAAAGCTGCGTATTATCTTCGTCTGATCCTTTTGGAAACAATCTAGGGGATGTTCATTCATATATTGGTTAAGTTACTCGATTGTACACCGAATACACCATCAACAGCTGAATTTGTAGGCTGTGAAAATACAACTTTATACAAGTAAAATTTATTGCAACCTGAGTATTCCAAGCGATAACTAAATATAATGTGCTTGATTGAGGGATTATTATTATTATTATTAGTTATTGTTGTTGTTAACTATAAACATGAACATGTAACACGGTACATAGTACTTCGATTATTTTCGTCTCAGCATACGTTCATGTCACTCAATAGAAATACAGGTAGTGTTAACTATCAGCAAGAATAAGTCATCCTAGCATGATAAAGGCACGTGGAAACTGGTTGCAAACTAGATACTCTTTACATAAAATACTATACTATAAGAGTTCTGACAAATATTGCTCAATAATATCAAATAGTCCATTGAGTAGAAAACTACATTTCATGATTGGCTATCAACAAATTCAAAAACTCGGTCATAAAACTGTCATTATTTTGATTATACAATAGTCATAACTGAAAAGTTGTTTTCTAAGTTGAAAAATCTGTCAAATGTTCAATGACAGAAAATAATGACATAATTAATCAAGATTATTCTTTTTTATGTGAATAGATCTCCTTTAGAATCACCAATATTTATAAATCGGGCTTACTATAATGGGCGTGAAAACCGTATTTATGTGAATGCTGGAATTTTTCAATTTCCATTTTATAATGAAAATGGTAGTTTAGCTTCGAAATATGGAGCACTTGGTTGGGCTATAAGTCATGAAATTATGCACGCCATAGGTATCAAAGGTTCGTTCAATCATTATACTCAATTTTCAGTTTCTTAACAGTAATATTAATTACCTAATATAACATTATTACTTTCGATATAATAATGTTCATAAAATCACAATATGATTTTATTGTCTTATGAATTCATAGGGAAAATTACTTTTTCACGGGCCATTAAAGTGTGTATTGATCAGCAAAATTAGTTTTACATATCAACAAAATGTCAACATCTTGAATTTGACGATGTCAGTTTGCTATTCATCAGTTAAACCTAATCTTTTTTGCTAAGCATGACGTAATGTGCGAATAATATATTGTCATTGTGTGTAATCTTCAGTTGTCAGTATTAGGCATTTTACGACTACAGAATCCCAAAATACTACTAGTGTCTTGTATCAATACATTCTCGAAATTAGCACATCACTGAGAGGAGGGCAATCTCACGACAATCTTTTATGTGAGTAAAGAGAATCGAATATCCAATCGTCACAATATTTAAATACTCAAATATAACAACAGGTCGACATTTCAGTGTAGTTCAGTAATTTATAAAACATTTCGCTCGTGCTACCATGCAACGGTAATAGATTGGCTTCAACTAGTCAAGATGTATTTCGAACGAATTATCTAGTCTTTTCAGCTTGACTGTCAAATACTTGACAACATCCATGTCACCTCAGTTCATACTCATATCGGTTACTTGTAATAACTGAATAAAAGGCTCGTTTGTGTTATCGATCCACATCTCACAAGAATACACTCACTATCAACTGAATATATGTTTAGACAGTGGACACTTTCATCGGAAATCGATGAATTATGTGGTTCATAATTTGGTTTATATTAGTTTCCCTGATTTTATTCTATAAATCAATGGCCAATCGATTCTGAGTATCACTCTGTTGTTACCATACACTGAATATCAGACACGTTTTCGAATACAACATTAGACTGCTGTTGTCCTGTTGATGATATAAATTTTCACTGATTTAATATTGGTGATTATGCAATGCAGAATATCATCGAATCTACGTTCATAGTACTCATTACAAACCATTCTCCCATTTAGTTCTATATCAAATGTAATTTTTACAATGGAATAGTTTGAAATCAAGTGAAATAATTTGTTCTACCCTGGTTTTCTGTACACTGACGAGTAACGGCTAAATGTCTGTTGAATAGTTTCATTTTAATATTGGTTGTTTGAATCTTCCAATTGATGTTTAGAAAAGCAATCGATTAGTTTCGACATATTGGCATGATGTGTGGATTGCCTTGATATTGTCTTAGGTCATATGCATGATAAGCGGAAATGGGATGTTGGTACATATAGCTGACAAGTTCCAAAAAGAACGACATGCGTGTTCTAAATTCTACTGCTAGACACCATTCATCTCCTTTTATAATGTCTGTTGTATTAATCTCCGATAAAATCAGTTTTACTCTTTCATTTCGATTGATGTAAAAACTGTTGGTTATCAGATATTTACGCACTGATTTCTATTTACCCTTCCTTCTACTGTTTGCTTATCAACTGTTTACTGAATATAGAAATTAGTAATTATGTTAAAAAAATAACATTAAAAATAATTACCATTTAAAAAAAAGGAATAATCCATTGATCTTTTTGAATTTCAAGGTGTATTGGTGGATGCATCTGGTACTAGACTATCTGGTTTAAGCGGGCTTATTTTATCTGCTGAGATAGAAACTAAAACTTCATGTTTTAGTAATCAATATAGATTTTATAAATTTACCAATTACAAAGTAAGTTTATTAAATTTTAAGTAATAACATACAAAAGTATACGTATATTTTTGTGCAGTTATTAAGCAGTTAGAATTTCTACAATTTGGTATATAAGAAACAATTACAACTATCTTCTCATGAATTATATTTAACGTAAACTATTTTAGGATTATGAAAGAACAAGCTGTGAATCACATGTGGAGAAATTCAGACAATTCACTTCTACCCGAAGTTTGCGCTGATGATGTCGTCCAGAAGGACGACGACGAAGGCTCCACGACCAAACCATCCAGTTCAGAGAACAAACCTACATCAGAAAGAATATGCATTTAGTCAATATTACACAAAACATTGGTTTATTTATTTTGTTAAATTCATTCATTCATTACTTACTTACGCCTGTTACTCCTAATGGAGCATAGGCCGCCCACCAGCATTCTCCAACCCACTATGTCCTGGGCCTTCCTTTCTAGTTCTATCCAGTTTTTGTTCATTCTTCTCATGTCTGTCTCCATTTCTCGGCGTAATGTGTTCTATGGGGTTCCTCTCTTCTTTTGGCCTTCAGGATTCCATGTGAGGGCTTGTCTTGTGATGCAGTTGGGTGCTTTCCTCAATGTGTGCCCTGTCCACTTCCAGAGCCTCTTCTTCACTATTTCCTCCGCTAAAATCTGGTTTTTTCTCTCCCACAGTAGGTTGCTGATGCTAGTGTCTGTCCAACGGATCCGAAGTATCTTGCGTAGACAACTGTTGATAAATACCTATATCTTCTGGATAATGGCTTTCGTAGTTCTCCAGGTTTCCGCCCCATACAGTAGAACTGTCTTGACATTAAACAAAATATATTCTCTTTATTAAATAGAAAAACACCAATACTTATAATTCATAATTTTGACAACCCTTTCATCGTATACACTTAAATATCTGTGGTATTCAAGATGTAGAAGTAGTAGAAGTGTCTTGACATTTGTGTTGAAAATTCTGATCTTGGTGTTGGTTGACAATTGTTTTGAGTTCCGGATGTTCTTCAGTTGTGAATGCGCTGCTCTTGCTTTGCCGATCCGCGCCTTCACGTTTGCATCAGATCCATTGTGTTCATTAATGATGCTGCCCAGATATGTAAAGATTTTCACATCCTTCAAAGCTTCTCCGTCAAATGTAATTCGATTAGTGCATGTTGTATTGTATCTGAGAGTCTTGCTTTTCCTTTTGTTTATATGGAGACCTACTGCTTCTGAGGCTGTTGCTATACTGGTCGTCTTCTCCTGCATTTGTTGTCGCGTGTGCGGTGGAAGAGCCAGATCATCTGCGAAGTCTAAATCGTCCAGCTGCTTCCTAGCTGCCCACTGTACCCCGTTCTTCCTTTTAGATGTTGACGTCTTCATGATCCAGTCGATCAGCAGGAGAAAGAGAAAGGGTTGGAGTAAGCAACTTTGCCTAACACCGGTCTTTACCTTTAATGAATGTTAAATTCATGCCACCTATAAAAACAATAATTAAAATATATGAATCTGAAAAATATTTATATTGACTTAATTAACCTTTATGGTGAAAATCAAATGTTACGGAACTCACTACTAATGTAATGGGTATTACTTAACACTATCCATAATGAACGTAAACTGTCCAATTACATGTTAGCCTTGTACATTGAAAATATTTTTCTTTCAGTTATTTTGCTTAGCTACTGTTTTACCCCATAATGGTTTATGAAAACAATTCAATATCATCTACATTAACCATGACTTTCATAAAACATGTATGAGTTTAAGTAAAAACATTCATTCAATCCCAATTTATAGCAGCTCAGATACAATTGAGTTTGTTTACATCTAATCTGGCTAAGCTTTTTTGTTAACTTATTTAATGGACAGTCATACATACAATAACAACCTATCCATACCACTGTACTTTTATTATATACGCTTGAACATTGCTTACTGCCTACGCATGTATTCATTCCGCTAGCCTTATCATTAATCGCTTAATTGATCCGATGACTCATGCTTTTCCACTTATATATGTATGTACATCTTAATCCTGTTTTCTGCTCGCTCTCTGCTCTGCTCTACGCTACACCATGTTGTACACGCTTAGTCGCTCATTCGGCTCTCACACTCACTCGCCTGCTTTACGGCACTGCTCTTTCATGCTTGCTTAAAGTGCCTGTAATATTGGATACCCGTGTGTGGTTCAATAATAAACTCAATCACCCCTTTGTATTCGCCTTCTGATTTATACACCGTAAGGACGTTATGGAGTAACGGTTATCAAGACGAACAATATACGACGTTTAGGGATAATATCGAATATCGACCACCACAAAGTCATTAGCATTTCAATGTGTAATGAGAAATATACGAAATGCTTTATTCAGTGTTTTACAACACTCATACAACACATTTCTGAATTATTTAATTGATCTAGGCCCTTCAAACCGATACACGAGAGGAAATTTTAGCTGATATTGATGGTCTGAAAGCGTCATACTATGTAAGTAAATTTATGCAACTTATGGGATATGTTTATTAACAAGAAACCTTTGAAATAAAATACCAACAAATGGTTTATTAATGTGTATTTGGATTATTTAGATAGTTCCCTATCATGGATAAAACTTTGAATATTATAGAAGCAAATCAAACTACAGTACATAGTTTTTCAGTTGAAAGATTAATGCATAAAATGTTTAATCAGTAAAACATCATCAATGGAATAACATTAGATCGAGGCTAAAAATATCCTTAATTATTTCATTGAATAAACCATGAACTTTATCTAGTGGACATATTGATTCAAAAAGTAATTCAATAGTTCTTTTGGCTTTTTGTAAAGCCAGACGATGAAGGTTCAGGTCTCTCAGGAGCACCACTTCCCTCAAGATTACAGGTACATTTTGCCAAAGTGTAAAAAATAACACGGAAACTAAGTTAAACAGAGTTTCCTGCAGACTATCTCTAACACTTTACATCATAACATAGGGCATGCGATATTGAGTCACTTAGACTAGCAGCCACATGGAAACTTTATCGATAGGATTAGATCAGCAGTAAGATAAAAATTACACACTTGACACTAATCACTATCCAGTGACAAATAAATTATAAAAAACGCTATTGGGCACATTAGCTGTGTTCTAACGATCAATTTGGTTAAGTGATTCTTCTGATTTCAGAAGACTTTTAGACGCCTTAAACCGGTTGTCGGAACAAAGCGAACAACTGAGTTATACATGGCACAAATATTTATTGAGGAACAATTCCAAACAAGTATTGCACAACCAGATAATTGAATAATAACCGAAAATCGAGTCAGGTAAAATTTCACAACATCAAATTGTCGATATATTCACTGTACTACCGTGTTTGTTTCAGCACTAAAGAAAATTTAACACCCATTAGTTAGAGTGGAGTTATAGAGATTGAACATACAGATTTTAAGAAGATAAGACTCAACTATATCAGTATAAAAACTCAATTAACAATGCATATTACAAATGAGCAGATTTCGAATTCGGTCGTCTACTATTTAGAAGTCAGACGTTCCTTTTTTGTACAGTCGGTGGTTATTATTCTTAATACAAAGACAATAGATATAACCTAATTGTACAATTGTCTATACGGCTAATGACGTTACATTGTATATCTAATTTGTAAAGTTCATTGTTATTTTGAAGTCTGAAGATCAATCGTATGATAAAACAACAAAGAAACTCTAATTAGAAAAATGATTTATCAGTCAGAAAAGTGGATTTCATTATATTATAGAGGGTGTGAATTAGTTAAAAATTATAATGTTATTATTTAGCACAAATATTTGATATCTATTCACTGAGTAGAATAGTATATAACCCAGACCATGAACCTATCCATAATAGGACGAAACAGCCGTCTAGTGCTTCCAGGTTTTCCATAGTGGTCTACCTTCAATTGACTCATGATTCCAACTATGAAAATACTGAAATATTCACACAAACAAACCCATTCTGATATAAATATACATCGAACCCTTTTCCTATATTCTCATTCAATATCGACAAACAATGTGGAACATACTGTGTATGTATTTTTATTTTTTATAGTGGAAACTAAATTTTATAGAGTTGAGATCATGAGTCAATTGAAGCTAGACTACCATGGAAAACCTGGAAGCACTGGACGGCCGTTTCGTCCTATTATGGGACTCCTCAGCAGTGCGCATCCACGAACCCACTCTCGCGGGATTCGAACCCAGGACCTACCAGTTTCGAGCCGAAGCCCTTAACCGATAGACCACTGAGCTGGTAGGTCCTGGGTTCGAATCCCGCGAGAGTGGGTTCGTGGATGCGCACTGCTGAGGAGTCCCATAGTAGGACGAAACGGCCGTCCAGTGCTTCCAGGTTTTCCATGGTAGTCTAGCTTCAATTGACTCATGATCTCAACTCTATAAAATACTAAAATCTCCACAAAACCCCTTCTGGAAACTAAATTATCAATAAGCTTTAGGATAAGTATTCCCCATTTACACCATGTATGTATTTAAAAATTATTCCGCTTTTTACTTTTCTTAGACGTACAGGCGCTTATATGACAAGTATTCGAATAGTGTTAAGCAAGATTCTAATATCTCTCTTATATCTGATCAGTTGTTCTTCCTCTCATTTGCACAAGCAAGTCATAGTTTTTCATGTTGTAAATCATTATAATATTATGCTGTTTGTTGTACTTGGAATTTAGTTTACATGTCATACGCATTAGTAATAAACATAAGTATTAGCGAAATTCCATAGAAAGTTAATAGTTACTTACGAACAGCCAGAGCTCATAGTACATTTCATTCGTATATAATTATTCTGTTACTAAATTTTCACCTTGATATTTAATCCACCAACATATTTCAAAGCTGGTATTATTTTGGTAGACGTACACAGTAAACAATAAAAATAGTTTCTTCAATGTAAGCGAAGATGAACGGTGGCTACCAGTGGAATATAGGACGGGCGCTTCATCCTACTTGGGACTCTTCAGCTGGATTTACCTCCATTCCATAGTTGATGATCATTCTGGAACTGGTCTAATCAAACGCCATCGTCTTTTCTACTTAGCTACTAAGTCCCGAGAGCTTCTTCAATGGCTAATAATATTTTACCACATTGACTCGGACTACCAAGTCTTTTTTCGGAGTTACTCCATAAACAATCTATCAAATAAGACATAAACCTGATGACAACATTATTAAACCTAGGAAACTTATCAATTCCCTCTATGTTCAATAAAAGGTCAAAATTAAATTTAAGTGTGAATCACTCACTCGATCAATGTAGGAAAAATTCCTACATGGCAAACTTTTCATCCAGTTTAATGAACTAAATTAAACAATAGAAACTAAGAAAACAGTCAAGTTGATAAGGTAGACCAATACATAAATTAGTAAAACGACAACTACCAACTAATTCAAATATGTTCACTTGAAAACTTCGTGAATTTCAAGTTTATATTGATCAAATATAAATATTCATGTTATTTACATACGTATCCAATGCCAAAAGTGTGATAGGAATGGTGTTTGCTTAAAGATAACTGTATGATTGAGTTGTTATTGAAGGCATGATTAGCAATTTATCAAATTTCTTTTTCTTATTGTTTTCAAGTCTATGTGTGGACATCATCATGGGATTAATCTTTTAATACATTCAGTAATTATTCCACATGTAATGGAAAGATACAGGTGAGCACTGACAATAATCCAAATTACATATGAAATGAGTATATGTTTCATTTATATTATGGTAAAAAAATAACTAATTAGATGTGTGAAGCAATTATATTTTCACGACATGCATAACACAATACGATAAGCGACTTCTAAGAAACTAGTACCCAAAGTTGCCATTTTTGAAATCAAACCTTTTATTTCAAACAATGCAGTACATAACGAAGGCTCAAAGATGTTTAGGATCGTATTTTCTAGATGAAATCAACCTCACTTTCTTTGAATGCAGTACTCATTTTACTAGACCCATAATACAAATTTCTATAAAAACTCAAAAAGTAATGAATTCCGATGATCTACAACTCCAGTGATAGTCGCCTACTTTACGTTAAATCTTATTAACTTTTCAGAATCTTTATCAGAAAATTTGTAATTTCAGTTTGTAAACTTTATAGTATTTGTATGTTTAGTTTACGGCTCTATAAACTAATGAAATATCTTTGTTTTCTTTACCTTGAAAGAGTGATCGGGGCGTTGGTTAATAGTAAAGAATTCGCACATGCATATGGTTGTCCAGTTGGTTCACCAATGAATCCTGAAACGAAATGTGCTGTGCGGTAAAACCATTATGAATTACTCGTTGGCCGATCTAAAGATACTTTGGGACACTATAACGTTTGAATGATTTATTTACATTTTCTTAAACAAATCTTTAAAATATACAATTCTTAGATTAGGTTTTAATTTATGGTTCTATTCGCTATACATGTTAATTACCTATCACAGAACTGTATGTCAGCACAGAAAACTAAGAAAATGAATAAGCATTAAAAGAATTTTGAACTAGAAAATCTTTAGATGGATTTAACTGGTCTACATGTCCACTCTATTTAACAAAAACCCCACATTCCCATAGAACAAGAATATATTGTTAGTATGAGGGGTTTTTTGTGAGAGTCAAATTTTCTTAGTATGGATCACGGACTGGTCTTAGTCAAAAAATAATTGAAACATAGAAGTACTGAATAGCTTTCTCGTCTTGGTAGGTATTCTTGAGCAGTTCACACTCATTATCTTTCTGGAGATTAAACATAGGAGCGTCTGCATCGTGCACCAACTCTCAAACTCTGGACAGCTGGACGAGCACATAATTTCGGCTAAATAGAAAGCAAAGGTGGATAAATTAGGTTGTATCGTGAACAAATGACATAGTGAAGTTCCAAATAATTAATTTCATATTGTATCAAAAGATAAAAAGCGATAGACTATGGAAAACTTCGACCTTTCAGGAAAATACCACATGTATCTATATTTTTTATGTTCTGACATTTAATACATTTTGAGGATTCTTATCTACATTATTTTTCATACATGTGTATTCACATGCTCAAAAGAATTAAAACTTTAGGGTATCCAAAATTTGATATTTCCATTATCATATACACTATTTGAGGGTTTGCAAATGTAGAGGCTGAAGAAGTTATCAAAAACTTTTGGTTCACTCTAATATTCTTCGCTTCTTAAATGTTTTATAGGAGTCTTTTAACTACTTTAAACGATTGAAGTATACAGCAGTTCACTGTGCTAAATACGATACAAGTTAACAAAGCATTGGACAGATAAAAATATAGTAATTCTAAGAATAAAATAAAAACAATCATACTTTCCCAGTGAATTCTAACAACATTGCACAATTTCCAAACAATACTCGAGCAAACGGGAACTAATAAGTTCATTTAGTATTGTTTGCTTGAATGTTTCCATCGACGTGTTAGGACTGTAACTAGTCAGACTCTAATTAGCATATGTGCATATTGTGCGTATTCCCTCGATATAGCCAAATTCACAAGCATGGTAAGCAAAAATGGTTAGTGGCTAGCAGTGGAATCCAGGACGCGCATTTTGTCCTATTTGGGACTCAGTGACCGAGTGGATAACGCGATGGAGTTTGAAGCGAAAGGTACTGGGTTCGAGTCTCAAAGTGAACATCAACTCTGAGGTGCAGGTATATCCAGCTGAAGAGTCCCAAATAGGACTTGACGCGCGTCCTGGATTCCACTGCTAGCCACTATCCATCTCTCGAAACTAATAAGGTTATAAATGTGAAAATTAAACATCATATGGAATTCCTTGAAGCTTGGACCAGATTGCCAGGCGAAACGTTGAATTTACTTCAAATTTATTCGTTTAGATTTTACAAATAGATTATTCCTGTTTTCTGTAGATTTGATTATCATTCGTTAGTATTGATTGAAAGCTATGTATTAGCCTAAATCTGTCTTTAGAACTATCTATTTACCCGTACTATTATGACAGAGTAACTTTAAAATGAATGAGATAATGCTATGGGATGATAATTTGAAATAAAAGTTATTTCTTTCATTGTTCATAAATTTCGTTACTTGACTTCATAAAGCGAAAATCAAAAACAATACATCTAAATTTGAATGTAAATCTATACAAAAAGTAATGACACTGATTCATTTCGAAAAATTCATAAACAAATCAGTTCAACATACCTGCTAATGTAACAGCTTTTAAAAAAACAGAACTTTTAATTGTTTACCGATAAAAAATGGTAATTATCAGAAAGGAGGTTTGTGGAGATAGATTTAATTTAATACTTGAATTCATGAGTTGATCAAAGCTAGACTATGCTGGAAAACCTGGGAGCACTGGACGGCCATCTCGTCCTAGTACGGGACTCCACAGCCGTATGCATCCACGATCATGCACGCGGGATTCAAACATAGGACCTTCGATTCCCACTGGAGTTCAACCGTGTCTGTTGTGAGATAGTAACTCGCTGAAGATAATGGTGAACGATGGTACAATATTATGAACTGGTTGAAACTAGACATTAAAGCCGTTGGATGATGACTCAGTGATCTGGAGGTTTAGTGTTCGTGCGTGAGATCAAAGGTCTTGGGTTTAAGTCCCGCGTGAGGAATCGTAGATGTACACTGATGAGGAGTCTTGTATTAAGACGAAACGGTCGTCCATTGCTTCCAGGTTTCTCACGGTGGTTTAGCTTTACTCGGCTCACGAGTTTAATCAGTAAAAAGCTTTAAGAAAAAATAAATCCATAATCTTAATCAAGTTTATTAATGACTTCATCTCAATGTAGTCAGAAAAACAGATGTGAGCTTAACGAAATAGTGCTTCTGATGTATAAGATATTTCATATGACGGGATTAAAAAGAAAAAATTACATTCCTTCACTCATTGTCATTCTTGTTCAGCATTATTTTCGTTTCTAATTAAATGTGGTACAATCACTAAGTGTATTATTTTGTTTTGTTTCCTAGTATGATAAATTAATCGGTATAATATGAATTTATTTAAGTGTGACGTATTATTCAACATACGATATTCTTGTATTAAATTAACATGAACTACCCTCAGTGTGACATGCAGTATGAGATTTGTTATAACTCTGGGTATTTTACATATATGTGACTTTATTTTAATTATTAATAAAAATGGTGCACAATCAATATATATGTAGTTTATGCTACTTATGTCGACAGATGTGAGTAGTAAGTAAACCGATCAAAAGTTGAATAACTTTTATAAGGAAAGTGTTTCATCAATTTTCTTCAGGAAAAAAGCGTTTTATTAAGTACAAGATTTATATGCACTGTACATTCTACCTACTATTTCATTGATTAATAACAACCTAGCATTTGATTGATGTATATTGGCTTCTTGTATATATATATGTATCAAACATCACCATTATCGAATACAAATGTATAGTTCCGAAACTGGTTTTGTACCAAATACGTCATTTCATTGTGATAGCAATCCTTAATGTTTTACATCAACCTGGTTTCCAACTATTACGAAACTTATCGTTCAATTTCAGAAAAAAGTTCTAGACATATTTATTAACTCAAAATTCTACATAGAGGAAACGCATGAAACAAGATTCAGTGATAATGTAACCATTTTAATCATCAGCAAAGATGGATAGTGGCTAGCAGTGTAATCTAGGACGCGCGTTTTGTCAGCTGGATGTGCCTGCATCTCAGAGTTCATGTTCATTCTGGGACTCGAACCCAGTACCTATCGCTTCAAACAAGTAATACTAAGTGAATCAATTTAATTATTACTTATTTCAAATACTATCCATCCAGACAAATTTTATGTATTCCATAAAGGTTAATTTTAAAAATATTAACTCATTTAGGCTGTATCTTCAAACGTTTTCTAAATCCTTACAATATTATACCGTTATTTTAATGAGTGTCTGTTTTTGTAAATAAATGATGATATGATATTGTGGTTTATATTATTTTTAACTAACTTAATGATAACTAAAAAGGTATTCGTTCTGTCTAGGATTAAACTTCATACAAATTTCATATTCATATAAATTATTATTATGTGATTGTCTCAGTTAGAAAGTTAATTGGAAGAAAATTTGTAGAAATAAGATAAAGTAAATCGTACGATAATTAATACAATGTTACGTTAGATGTTATTATGATTATATTTGTTATTGTTGTTGATTTAGTCCTTTATAAAGTCATAAGTTATGTAAATAGCGGAATTCATTTTTACTATATGACCAATTACATATTTGCAATTTGTAATAAGTTTTGGAAAGATGGTAGTTCTGATACACAAATTTCATGGATGGGAATTGAATGTCATAATTTATGTAATACTTAAAATTAACTAACAGATGGAGGCTTAGTTAAGAGGCAAGAAATAAGCGATTACAGTTATTGAAAGATATAATCCTTTGTTATATCACAATAAGTAGGAAATTGTATTTCTGACGTTTCATGATTTAATGTGAACCAATTCTTTAGAGTAAATAAATAATTAGTTAAATAGTTGAGATCATGAGTCAATTGAAACTAGACCACCATGGAAAACCCGAAAGCACTGGACGGCCGTTTCGCCCTATTGCGGGACTCCTCAGTAGTGCATAACCACGATCCTGTTTCGCGAGATCCGAACCCAGGACCTACCAGTCTCGCGTCAGAACACTTAACCGATGCGCACTGCTGAGGAGTCACACAATAGGACGAAACAGCCATCCAGTGCTTTCGGGTTTTCCATGGTGGTCTAGCTTCAATTGACTCATGATTTCAACTATATAAAAGTACTAAAATCTCCACAAAACGCCATCCTGAAAATAATTACTTGCTTACATATGTTACCCCTCATGAAGTAGCATAAGCCACTCACCAGCATTCTTAACCTGACTCTATCCTGGACAATCGTTTCCAGTTCTTTCCAGTTTCTATTCATCCTTTTCATGTCTCCTTCCAATTCCTTATGTAGTGCTCTTTAGTCTTCCTCGTTTCAGTTTCCTTTCAGGATTTAAAGTTGCCACATGTCTCGTAAAGCAGTTTGATGATTTCCTAAATGAGTGTCCTATCCACTTCCGACGTATCTTCTTAGTTTCCCCATCAGCCGGAATCTTAAATCTCTTATCAAGATTGTCAGGTCCTTTCCTGATCACCTCGCCATGATCGATTGCAGCCTCTAGTAGAACTGATCTTTATCCTCTTCAGTACAATCATTGGTTTGTGTTAACATCGGATAATACTCACTGTAATTTCCTCCTTCTTTGTTTTGAAGGACGCTTTGATGACCCTAGATCA